GTGGTGGATGCCCCATCCCTGGAAACATTCCAGGTCAGGCTGGACGGGGCTCTGAGCAACCTGATCTAGTTGAAGATGTCCCTGCCCCTGGCAGGGGGGTTGGGCTAGGTGACCTTTAAAGGTCCCTTCCAACCCAAACTATTCTATGAATCTATGATTCCTATCATAGTAGGCTCACCAGGCAGGTCAAACTTGCTGAGCCACTAACCTACCTAGGCAATTTTAATCTGCTACGTTGCTGTATGTGATACATGTATATGATAAATGATAAATGTGATCATATTTATCCACAGAGAGCACACCTGCTGTGTTGCAGAACTTGCTGTGTATGGCAAGACAGACTTTCTTCCTTTGCTGTTAAATATATCAGCTTTTGTTTCCTTTCCATCTAGGATTTGCAATTCAAGATCTTATTTTTTTAAAAAACAAAAAGGTGAAATCTTTCTTATTTGTGATTTTAGCTTACGAGTTCTTTCTCACCTGATGTTGGGACATGACTGGATGGAGTCTGTTCAGAACATGACAGGTCACTGCCCCAATTCTGAAATGGCAAGTTACAAAATTGGGTCACCTTATCGTTAGAAGATAATATGGAATTCATATATGGTTTAATTGTATGGTGAAAGGCAAAACCATGTTAAGACATAAATCCTAGGTTGGTGCCTATATAGCTCAACAGTCCTTTCCTCTTCTTTGTGGAATGCTGTTAATTAGTTTTGGTGACATTTTCTAGCCAAAACATAACATTTTTCCAAAGGCAAAACATTTCATCTAGAAATATTACTTATGACAAAGTTCCATCAGGATGATAATTTTTCCCCTCCTCTCCAGCCTGGAGATTTTGACCATGACCTAGAAGGTGGGGTCTTCAGGTTTGAAGTCCTGCTCTGTCTCAAGAGACATCAGATGTAAAAACAAACACAACAAAAATCAACAATAAAATAATTTCTGAAGTTCTAATATTATATTAATGTATTATATTACTATTCTTTCCCATGTACCTCGCTAGAAACCTATTTTTTTTCTAGAAACTTTCAAAAAAGGCTAGCTTTCACTGAATATAAAATTTTAAAAGTTTTTGAAGCTTCAAAAGTTTCAGTAAAGAGAGGTGTCAGCCTCTAAATAATTAGACTACCATACATTTGTAGACGATATCATAGCTATTACGATTATTCCACCAGTTGAGGAAATTGAGTCAACCACACATCGCAGAACATCTTGGTTCACCAGCAGAAGCAGCTGGTGAATGTGCCACCCTCGCTCTTTGGTAGTGAGCAACAACATTAGCTGAGAAGGTAGCGAGGGAAAAATTGTAATTGTTGTAATGGGCAGTCCCTGTAAGAGTGAAGACATCTGCTTACGCTGATCTAAGAGCCGGCCCTGCTTGGAGCAGGATGTTGGACTAGGGATGTCCTGAGGTCCCTTCCAACCCAAATTATTCTACGATTGCACAATTCTACCATTCAGAGAAAAACTACATGGACCAGTGGTCTTCAGAAAACACGGTTAGTGCTAAAAAACATCAAGAAAAATTAATCTCTTCTTGTAAAAAATGGTGTAATAGGCTCTACTATCAGCCATCTAGTTAAAGGCTGTTTGCAGAGGCTAGAAAGGACAGCTGGGCTTATTTTCAGATCAGAGAGGAAACTGTTCCTTTACTCTCTCTACTGTTTCTTTCCTTTACCCTATCATTTCAAAAGCTATTGCTGTTGACGTTCAGTGGAAGTGCAAGAATTACCCATTAAAAGTATAACTCTAGCTCTACAGATAGAAATCCAATTTCAATATTGCAAACTATGGCTTGCTGAAGCAATATCAGCTATTGCTCTTTGTAAACCCGCAAGGCACACAGAGATTTTCATAATTTGACTAGGCATGAGGACCACCCCAGTATACCAAACTAGCCCAGCCCATTTTGACTGCCATCTCCAGCCACACTTGTATCACCAAAACAGAGCATTCCTTGCAGGAAGTCTGCATGCTTGCAGCCATTTGTCAAGAGCAAGTTACTGCCCCATTTCTTCTACACCAAGTTTGTTTCTGCAGTTTGTTTAGTTGTTCTGTCATGGTGGAAAGTGAATCCCTTTGAAAATGGATTCCTATCACCTCTTGTATTTGGCTGCATATCCAATACGTAAGGGTGACTGCCCTCTACAGGTTAAGCTTACTTGAGTGCATGGAAGTGCAGTGGCTGAAGAAGAGAATATGTAAACCTTCCTCAGATCATTTGGGGGCTCAGGGTTCTAAGTTATCTTCTCCCTGTTGTGAGGAACTTGCTATCTGAATTAATGATGCATCCTAGATGACTTACTGTTGAGCACAGTTTTGATACGATTGCACCAATTAATACAATTCATTTTGTCTGGCTTTTAGGAAACGAAGAGTTTAACATTTGTTTACACAGGAAAAAATGCAATGCAAGATAGACTTCCCTTTCTGAAAACTGGTAATAGTTTATCTCATCTATAAATTCAGCATGATGTGTGAACAGTCACCACATACAGCTTTGCATAGCTTGCCTAAAATGCAGCAAAAGATGCAACAATTACCTCTATCGGTTCATTAGTGGGCTCCACAGGTGGATATGTGTAGTTGCTATTCTTGTATGTTCCCAGGAATGGTTTGTTCTGGACAAAAGAGGAATACAAAAGTAAGAGAAATTAGACAATAAACACACGGCACAGACCATAGCAAGTGATATCAAGACATCATATCATCAAGGAAGTAATTGCCTAATCTGCAAAATGGGGATCTGGATTTTGAAACCATGCTCCTTCCTTAAAATTCAGAAGTAAGGTTTGTGTTTAGCACCTTATGGTAAAAATGACGTATGCCAGATCCTGATCGCAGCTTAACATTTTCCTCTCCTAACCTTCCACAAATTACTTAGACTTTATTAGATGGTTAGTCCTTTCAAAAGACACTGATGTAAAGTCTAGAGAAACCTGGGCAGGTCTTGCTGTGTCAGCAGAGGGGAGATGAAAGATTGATTACTGAAAGGACCACCCTTCCCCCCAAGAGAGGCTGTATAAGTTGCATGGTTATTTTTGTCTCCTACTAATGCAATGTGCATTCAGGAAGACATGCACATTGTATAGGCTAAAAAATTTCACTGGGATGCTCACTTATCTCAATTAAGAGCAATTCCAGTATCTGCATGAGGTCTTACAAAGCACTAAAATCAGAAGGCGTATTTAATTGATTAGAAGACCCACTGTTCTTTTATTGGCAGGGTTTTATCCTACTTTAAGTTGCCTCAATACAAATAATTTTCCTTGGCTTTTGGGCCATTACAATCTGGCACACCTGTTATTTTCATGGACACGACTACCTGAAGTAGAATTTTAAAACTGTAGTGAGAAACTGTGGGAACAATAAATGGAATTTGTAGGTGTCAGAATCTGAAATAATTTACTACTCCTTTCAGTAACACAGAAGGTGAAATCCTCTGGAAACAGTCTATTTATTCCTTTGTAGCACTGTTTCATAATCTTTACCTCAGAGCTTTCTGAGCAGGGAAAGCTACTGGCACTTCCATCAATGACTTTTTCAAAGCACTGTGGGCTTACCATTTCTGAAAATAATAGCCATATATTCTTTGCAAGGGATATAAAACTTTTCTATGCCTTCTTCTGAAAAGCAACATCTTTGAACAGGAGTGGATGAAGGGAAAGAAGTGTAAAATCCACATTATTTGGCACTGAAGAAGTTGCTAAATTAATTTAAGCTGCCTGGAAAGAACACTGGGTAAAATGAAGTAGGATCAATTTAAGTGAATCTGAGGACTTTTGAAACATGCTGCTCAATAACTCAGCAGATCTTCCTTTTTTGACAAGATGGACACGATATGGACAAAATCCTCCCGTATGACTTGAATGACTGTCTCCAGACCCGAGAGAACAACTCAGCTCCCTGATCTGTTCAGTTCTTGGCCTCCTTGTTGAAACTGCTGAAGAAAGTGAGGCAATTATTGCTGACTGCAGCGGTCATTTCCACATGCTGATACCTAGCAACTGTACTGCAAGTTCAGCAGCTAGTTTTATAACTGTAGAAGCAGTTTCCAAAGACTCTGAAGTATCCCTATCATGGATCAGACCAGGAAAACTAACCTGCCACTAATTCAAGAGATAACAGATACTGGGGTTTTCAGAGCTGCTGTGGTGCCCAAACCCCATTGATTCTGATGGAAAAGTTAATGCAGCATATTCCGTTATTTGCTGCTTGAGCTGCCTCTGTACTTCACAAACATAACAAAACACAACCTCTGCTACAACTGAAAACACACAAATCAGCATGTTGTCAATCAGTACCCACGGCACAGTAAAAGGCCAAGGGACACCAGAGCAGGTACATGAGAGCACCTGCTCACTCAGAGGTAAGCACAGAACAAAAGTTTTCAGTAAACTTGTTCCAGACATACTGAACCCCTGCTCTCTGCAGCAAGCACAAGCCCATACAGCCTCCTGATACCCAGCTTCCACAACATGGGTATATTTACCTGAGTTGGACAGTCGAGGACTATGTCAGCCATGAAATCAAACGAGTCAGCTTTCTGGCCTACAGGCTGTAACTAGAAAGGAAGACAAAAAAACCCCTATTTTGTAACCATGTCAGCTCATCTTACATTTGTATAACAATTCTAATCCAAAAGAATCTACACCTTTCAAATTTATATAAAGCTGCCTGTATTTACAGACCTTGATTTACCCAAGGCTGAAATGCATCTACTTCTCAGAAAGAACATGGCAACTGCGTAACAAAACAGCAACTCTAGAAAGAAGCTTAAAATGGTAGTGGAAAGCTCCACTGGATCAGTTTAAACTCCTGGAGGATTTTGGCAGGCACATGAAGTACCTTGGAATTTCGCCAGAAGGCAAGGTCGTAAACTCTCTTCTCTTGCATAAAAGACAAGACATTAAGAGTCCCTCAATTTTAGAGCTAAGCTGCATGATGGCATCTCCAACAAAAGGCTGTTTATGCGTAGAAGATTAAACCAAATTTAATTAGAGGTACTGCTTGATGATTGCAAGCAATCGTGTCAGCTGTTAAGACATTACCCCGAAGTATATAGAAGTTTACATCCAGGATCTGAGATACCGCCTCTGACTGCATGCGTACTCCTACTGCGCTGCAATGCTAAGTAAAATAAGTTTGCTTAAGCAATCTTTAGCAACACATTTTTATTGAGCTTTACTCATTTCCAAAGGTAGTAAAACCAAAAACTGAATTAAAACCACTTTGATTCCTAATGAGACATTCATAACACATGGATTTAAAACACACTTCTAAGTAATCCATTTTAACTTGACATATGCAGTTACAATTGTTTATTTGGTGGTTTCCCACATCAGCTCATAGAAACAACATCCTTATTGAATACTGCCCTGCCTTTCATGACAATGGGTGAAGTAGACTTGAAGTTGCTCAGCTGAAATCATGAATGACTCTGATCATGCACTTACAGCACCCCTCTCCTCCCCACACACCTTAAGAAGCAAGAGATTCTAGGCTGAGAGCAGTGCCAGAAATTTGAGGGTATCTGACTAGTAAAGAAGAAACAAACACAAGGTCCAGCGTTATCCAGGCCTTCACTGCAATGTTTATTACAGAGATTATTTTAATGGTAGTCAGGCCTAGGTAAAGACCACATTACACACAGAGCCTGTCACCTTACCACAGCATTCCAGAGAGCCTTGGCAAGCTGAGAATGGCCTTTCTGGCTTGGATGGAAGCAGTCAGGTGAAAAGTAGGAGACGTCTGGATGCCCATCCTACAAATGAAAGCATAAAGGACATCTGAGTGCAGAAGAATCCACACAGCTCCAACCTGGGGTTGCTGAGGCCAAACCAGAGCCAATAATGGAGGTTCATGCTACTTGTTCTTGCTGCTCCAATGTGGAAAGTCTCATGATTACCTGGTGATACAAAGTGTACTTCAGCAGGTCTGTGAGCTACCAGGAATGCTTAACTAGAGATGCTTATGTGCATCCAAGGGCAGATCCACCCAGAAGTAGCAAACCCACCATTTTCAATTACGTGTCTAGTCTCTCTCTGGGTTCTGCAATAAAGATGGGTTCCTCTCCTCAGCACATCATCTGAACTGGCACCACAGGCACCACTATACTCTGCAGTACCTTTACATGGTAACAAGCATGTTACGGATGCTTTACCAGAGGGAAGAGAGCCCATCTGCTTTTTCACAGCTGTGTCAGTTCTGCAAGTTTGAAAGGAGCAAGAAGCAAGTAAGTGTTTGTGTGAAGGCAGCCAGGCTAACCGAGTATACCAGTACAGTCTCCTTTCTGAGCAAAGATATACTTTAATACAGATACTGGAGCATCTGAAGGAATGGAGTTTGGAAATTTAAATATCTTGGCTTTCATGTGAGTATTGAGATGAGGAAGAGTTTAGGTCACAGATGACTGAAACAACAACATTTTTTTGGTCAGACCAGTCCTTCCTCAAAACTTGAGCAGGTTTTGATTCAGTGTATTTGGGCTAGCTTATTAGAGGACTACTACCAAAATTTGCATCTATATCTGATCTTTTGCAAAGTTTAGAGGCAGACTTTTCAGTTCAGGAACATCTGAATGTTGTGTGAGATAAGAAGAAAAAACAGCATCCTGAGCTTTCTTACAATCTGAACTAATGCTTGTGAGACTATAAAAAGAAAGTTCAGAAATATTTTGCTGCTTCTGTTTTTATTTCTGTGTTCCCTACCTCAGTACCAAAACCCCTAGCGATACTTTTCACAGGAACCAGGTTCACAAACAAACCAACCAAACCAAAACAAACCCAAAAATCAAAGCCTGTTTTTCCTGGGAAGCTTTCAGTCAGTTTCCCAAATTTGTCTGTAGCAGCATCTGAACTTTTCAAACTTATCACTAGCTATTTGCCAGCATTTTCACGATCACTCCAGTTCAATTATACCAGCACAATCCCTGCTCAATATTTTGCCCCATCTGCTCTTAGTTCCAGGTGAGTTGTGGAAGTGCAGATGCGTGTGACAATTAGTAAATGGAGTTTCAGTTTCAGAGAAGGTTTGGGTCATTTCCTAGATTTATAGTTTACTGAGACTTACCATTCAAGGTACGGAAATATAATTGCCAATAACAGGAAAAAGGGCTCGCTACATAAAACTACTACTTCCACCAGATCATACGTAAACTTCTCTGTCAGACACAGAAGAATGAGTTATGGGACATGAAGAGGAGGTGATGCTGTAGTCTCCAGTGAGAAATGCAGCTATGTTGCTTTAAGAACTGTAACTTAATATCTCTGTCTTTCATTAATCATGTTATATTTTCAGAAAGAAAAATATTTATGTACACAATCCTCTTAATTTAGGTTTTGATTCATTTTCCAAAATAGTAATTCATATTGACAGCACAATATGTAAAACAAAGAACTGCTAAGTTGTCCTGGTTTCGGCAGGGATAGAGTTAATTTCCTTCCTAGTAGCTGGTACAGTGCTGTGTTTTGGATTTAGATTGAGAACAGTGTTGATAACACGGGGATGTTTTAGTTGTTGCTAGGTAGTGTTTACACTAGTCAAGGACTTTTCAGCTTCCCATGCTCTACTGACTGAGAAGGCTGGAGGTGCACAAGAAGTTGGGAGGGGACACAGCTGGGACAGCTGACCCCAACTGACCAGAGGGATATTCCACACCATATGACGTCATGCTCAGCATATACAGCTGGGGGAAGAAGAAGGAAGGGGGGGACGTTTGGAGTGATGGCGTTTGTCTTCCCAAGTAACCGTTACGCGTGATGGAGCCCTGCTTTCCTGGAGATGGCTGCACACCTGCCTGCCGATGGGAAGTGGTGAATGAATTCCTTGTTTTGCTTTGCTTGCGTGTGCAGCTTTTGCTTTCCCTATTAACCTGTCTTTATCTCAGCCCACAAGTTTTCTCACTTTTACCCTTCCGATTCTCTCCCCCATCCCGCCGGGGGGGGAGTGAGCGAGCGGCTGTGTGGTGCTTAGTTGCCGGCTGGGGTTAAACCACGACATATGAAGAAATCTGATGTACTATACCAAAAAGCAACAATTTCTAATAAGAAAAGCACAGAACAAGCTGAAACTATTTTGCATATAGTCTTTAAAGGTTAGATACCCACACTTAGTCCTTTGCATGCAGAAGTCTCTTTAGACCGTACCTGACCAAGAGGAATCTTGGGATTTTGGAGGAAAGGCTGAATGGTCACTGTGAAATTTTCATGAGTATCATATCTGCCAGACTCCACTAGTCTCCGAATGCCAAGCTACAAGAAACAAAAAACCGACCACCGATAATCCATCAACACCTCTGCATCATAACCATTTTTTATTTTCTTTTGAGAGCCCAAGAATCAGAAGGAAGCTTTTACTTCTTAACGGAAATAGCCACAGATGTTGGCAAAAGGTGAGTCTTGAAACGTGGCTGAGAAGGCTGGAACACAATACTACAACTGTCTGTAGGGGACAGGATTTTGGTGACTAAACACCCACCTATCCATCTGTACTAGAAACAAAATTTTTCTGAAGAGCTTTCCTGCTGGTTTTGGTCATACGGTGTTTTGGATAGCATCAAATTACCTCCTCCTTAGCTCATAGGGCCCATTTGGGTAAAATATTACTATGATATGTTGCTTGGTAATCAAGAGCTCACCTCAACTGAAAATAAAGCAACTGCATCACTCTGCACAAACATACCTGGTAAGCTCTGGTGGCTTCCCTCACCATCGTTAAATTTGGTGAGTTTTCTTCTCCTGTGAGAACACAACTACACAGATAACTGTGGGCGAGGTTAGAGGAGAAAACAGGAATAGAGAAAGTTAGAGATCTGAGAATGCAGAAGTCACCCTTTGCCACCCAACGCCCTCATGACATGGGAGGAACAAGGAAACCTGTAGTCATGTTTCTGTGAAAATGTCTTACTGTCTTTGCCATTGTTCATCATTTCAACCCTTAGTCTTATTTTCAGTCATGTTTCTGTGAAAATGTCTTTGCCATCGTTCATCATTTCAACCCTTAGTCTTATTTTCTGCCTCTCTAAATCAGTTTGGTTTCACCTCCAGGTATGTCAAAGTGATGTACACTGTACTATGATGTTTTGTCCCATTCATTACACCCTGGCATCCAAAGGCCCTGCAGCCTGACAGAGGTACCTGCCAGTCCTTCTGGAACTAGAAAACAGATCTTTGAAATGTACTGGCTGCATTACCTCTGAGCTGATACCTTTCCAATCAACAATTCTCCATTCCCAAGACACAGAATTTGTCCCTGTCTGGAAGGTCAGCAAAGAATGCAAATTGCCCATTGGAATAAAGCCTCTGAAAAAGGAGAAACCTGTCTACTCTGCAAATACTTCACATTCCCTCAAACGGCCTGAAAATCCAAATGCTTGTGGACTTCAACCCCACCTTGAGGAACCGTGTATCAATAATCAAGCTCATTGAGGTGTACATTATGTATCGCAGGAAACCTTACAGTTCTAGTCATGGACAAAACACAGGTCCTCTGACAACACTTAGGTCAAAGCCAAGAGAAGACAATGCCATCAGGCAGGGTGACGTCAACACTGCATGGGATGTCCGTAGGACTGTAGTGCTACCTTTGAACATCAGTTCAAATAATGAAAGAAGCATGGAATAAGAACATGCTTTATCATCATGGACAGCAAGCTCAGGTACAAAAGGAAGTCAAACAAGCCTTACTCTGCCATGTAAGTGGGGCACTGAACTTGAGTATCCACAAACAACTGTCTCAGAGGGAGGAGGTCCATCACTTCAACCAGACTCACTAGAGCTTTTGGAACCTGAAAGGTAAGTCAGACTTTAGCTTGGAAGGAACCGGTTATGCAGCCCACAGTGCATTTATTTTACCCCAAAGTCCAGCCATTTGACACCCCTTCCCTTTCTCCATTGTTGGCA